TAAAAAATAATAATTTTTTAATAATTATATTGTGCAATGTATTAAATTTAGATATTATACCGAATTATATCATTCCCAATCTAGTTGAAAAAATAAGAAAGGAAAAGAAAAAACTGTCACCACGTGACCCAATACTTACACTGATTATCTAAATATGATATAAAGCAAATTGGTGAAAAGTATATGGCATGTTTAACTGCTAATAAAACCTACGAAACTTATAGAGTTTTGAGTATCGACACAGAGACATAATTAAGCTTATTAAGTTCTGAAATATAGGCTAATTAAAGAAGAAAGGTGAGAAATTAAAGCCAAAAAAAAACCAGAAATTATTGAAACAGTAATTAACTGCACTTTTGCATATTCTGGTAAAAAAAAAAAAAAGGTCAATTCTCAAAAAAGAAAAAGCCCGCGTGGCTGTGTTATGACTCACGCATCGCAGACTTTAACAAAGGAGACACAATTTTAATTAATATTTTATTAATTTCATTATTAAAAATAATTAATAATTAAAAATAATTAATTTTTAATATTTAAAAAAATTAAGATTAATTTACATACAAATGTTTACAAATCTTAAAATTAATTATTTAAAATAATTATAAATTAATAAAATATTAATAAAAATATGTGTACTTACAAAAAATATGTGCAGCAATGACTACGGTCTTACTGTGTGTTGTGCAACTTGTTGCGACGTCTTTGAGCCAATCTAACAGCCCAGCCAATGTAAGAATGCTACACTGACGAGGCTGCGCAGCCTAGGTCTTGGCCCGAGTTGAGCAGCGCTCCATCCAAATTGGGAAATTGGATCTAACTCCCATCGATCTAAATGGATTTTTTGCATTACGACCCATTTTACACATCAAAACCACATTTTTAGCAATTCATTAATTAATACCAACGGTCCAAAAGCCCCTCAACTTCCTCCTTGTAGCCACCGAAGTCCGACAGCCAAAACACCCTCTTCTTCGATACTTCCTCTCTTCGAAATCTCATTCTTCTCTCTCTGGCGCTCTGAATTGTGGTAATTTTGATTCGCCATCCATTTTTTTTTAACCGTTTGACATGAATTTTAAGAATTGGTACTGTTGCTTTAGTTGCTCTAAATTCCAGGAATTTATAGATCTCCTACAGTGAATTTGGTAACCGGAAACTCTGCAAGAAAGTGGGGAAATGGGTCAGCAAGAAATATGTATTAGATGCATCCATTAACATTTTCAGGTGAAATATTATCTAATTTTTTGTTCTTGTGATGAATGTATTGCTTGGAAGATACGATTCACGATCTAAAGGACATATGTTGAAGTGATATTTCTCAGTTTTTACACCAGTTATGATTTAATTTCCTTGGTGTCCCTTAACTCAAACTTTGTATATAATATAGCACTATCATGTTACAAGTTTTCAGGGGTAGAAACTTAGTTTTCTTGAGTACTGACTTATTGCTGGGATTATCAGATTCTGAATCTATTATTTTGGAGTAAAGATATGGATGACCCTGGAGCTCTTGGCTTGGCTACTTCAATCAATTTTTTGCTCTTTTTTGTTTGCTTCTATTATGTACATGGAGGTGAGTTTATGTGTTCGAATTGCAATTCAGAACAAACAGTTCTAGAGAGGGCAATTAATGACATTTGGAACACAGCCTAGATGAGGTTTGTTCTTTTATATATGTACATGGTTTGCTTGTTGCATTTCTTTGTGCATGCTTGCTGCGACATTCTCATCCCTCTTTTTCAAGTTAGTTTTGATTTTAGGCATTTCATTTGGTGACTTTCTGTCCATGCTAATTGATATGTCCTGAAACACAATGGTCATCTTCAACAGTATCTGATTTAGTATTAAGCTGAAATTCATTGTCTCACTGTTATCATCCAGATCTTTTAAATGATTTTGAGTTTTGCTTTACTTAACAAAATTAGCTTGAATTGGTTGATTGAAACTTGTTTGTTACCGGTAGATTTTTAGTTTAAATGAGTTTATTTGTATTGGACTGTGCGTTTTAAATGGCTATTTTTGGTTGGTCAAAAGGAATTGTGTTTCAATTGAAAATTTGACTGCATTTTAATTGTCTATTTGTGAGTTATATCATGTGCCTGAGCTTTTATGGCTTAAGTTCACTGGTTATAAGGAATCATGGACTAATTTTAACTAAAATTCTAGGACTTAGTTTACTTAATAGAACTTTGTGCTAACACAAATTCTTGTTTCTACAAGGGTTTCCATATTTAAGCCCCAAGTTCAAATAACAAGTGAAGAGGAGTACGGTATTGTATAGCTAATACTGAAATGTAAAAGAAAGGATTAGTTTAATAACTAAGTGATTTGCATACCTGTTTTTATTGAAAAATATATCGCCTTTAAGGAAACCAAAACAAACCATCCAACACAAGTGTGGATGAAAGCTAATACAACACAAGACATAAACCATCCATTCAGAGTTTTAGACCACAACATAATAGAGCATATATATTCCTCACCTAGAGCTACTGTTGTGATGGGAGACTTTAATGACATAGCTATTGTTGATGAAGCCTCACCTAGAGCAATGCATAGATTCACTAGTGCTCGTCGCTTTCGGGAACACTTGGAAGCTTGTAATCTATACTCCAAGGACTCGCTGGGGTGTGAGTTCACATGGATACGCAAGACAAATGGTCAAGTTATATTGCGGGAAAGGCTTGACCAGGCACTTTTCAATCTTACTGGCCTTGAGGAATTCTCAGATGCAAAACTTATCAATTTACTGAGACTGTGCAGTGATCATCATCCAATCATGTTAAACATTGACCCCCCAATTGGATTTCACGGGTAGCAAAACCACCTAGATTTGAAGTCGCTTGGTTGACCCATGAGGGTTTTAAGGAGGTGTTCATCGTGCATGGATGGCTCATGGCCACTAACTTCCTTCGGCTATTAGTGCTGTTCAAACAGCTTGCTTCCGTTGGAACAAAACAATGTTTGGGGATTTATTCCAATGCAAATGTCTCTTAAGAGCATGGCTTAGGGGAATACAAAACTCCCCTCATTACAATCACTCCCTTTACCTTCAGAATTTGGAAACGGAGTTGTTGGAGGAATATCACAAAGTATTGCATACAGAGGAACTATTTTGGTGTCAGAAATCATGGGTTGAATGGATTAATTTTGGTGATAGGAATACGAGATTCTACCATGCATCTAAGGTGATAAGAAGAGCACAAAATCGAATCATGACCTTGAAAGCAAATGATTCTTAAGTGACAGATCCAATCGCCTTGAAGAATCAAGTCCAAGATTTTTTTGTGGATTTATTTTCCCAAAAAGAGACTAGAGCTACAGACAACGATTACTCCTGCTTTCAGTCAAAAATGTTAAATGCAAATAGTGCTTCCTTGTTGCTTCCTATTTCCATGGAAGAAGTCAACTTAGCTCTCTTTTCCATGAAAGGTCTAAAAAGTCCTGGTCCTGATGGTATTTAGTTGATCTTTTATCAGAAATATTGGGATATTATTTCGGGTACGCTTCAGTCCTTTATCAATAGGTCTTTTTCTGATGGTTTCTTTGAGCTCATTGTGTTACAGGCTCATACTATTCTTATTCCTAAAGGGGAAAGCCCGGATGTGATACAAAAGTTTCGGCCTATTTGCTTACTTAATGTAGCCTACAAAATCTTTTCCAAAGTAATTGTTAACAGATTGCGTCCTCACTTAGAACCTAATTGGCCCTTTACAGAGCAGTTTTCTCGCTAGTAGAAGTACAACAGATAACATCGTTCTCGTTCAAGAGGTTATCCATTCTATGAGGCACCTAAAATGGAAAAAAGTGGCCCTAGCGTTCAAGATAGACCTCCATAAAGCCTTTGATAGTGTAGATTGGAACTTCCTTAGAGAAGTATTGATTGATTTCAACCTGTCGGACCCGTTAGTTCGGTTGATCGTGTTCTTGATTACTTCACTGTAGCTTTATGTTATTTGGAATGGAGAGGAATTACCTTACTTTCAGCCAAAGAGAGGACTACGTCAAGGTGATCCTTTATCGCCATATCCCTTCATTATGGTCATGGACAAACTCTCCCATATGATTATGAGTCGATTGCAGAACACAAATGGACTCCTTTCCGACTGTCACGTGGGGGACAAGCACTTTCACATTTGTTTTTTGCAGACGATCTCATGTTGTTTGGTGAAGCTTCAACCACCCAAATCAAAACTATGATGGACTGTCTCTCTAAATTTGCAAGACAATCGAGATTGAAGATAAACTTAGGCAAGTCTAAGTTATTTGTTTCTCCAAATATCCAGGGACAGTTGGCAAACTCCTTCAGTTCTGCTTGTGGCATCCTTCTAACACATGATCTCGGCATTTACCTTGGGGTGCCCATCATCCATGGCAGGTTCAAGGCCAGTAGTTATAAATATATTCTTGAAAAAATGCAGATTAAGCTTGTAGGGTGGAACAAAATGTCTTAAGTTTGGTGGGTATGAGAACATTAGTGCAATCAGTAACCTCCTCAATACCAACCTATACCATGCAAATAGTACTCCTTCCTAGCAGCACATGTTCATCCATCGATTCCTTGAATTGCAAATTCCTTTGGGGTTTAGATTTACAAGCTAACAAACCACACCTTGTCCATTGGAATGATGTTTATTTATCGAGGAGATATGGTGGACTGGGTGTGAGATTTGCCAAAGAGTGTAACAAGGCTTTGATTGCCAAGTTAGGTTGGCAAATACTTTCAAGGAGTGAGAAGCCATGGTGTCAGGCTATCAAGCATAAATACCTTCATTAAGAGAGTTTCTCTAGTTGCAAGCCCGAGGCTTCTTCATCTATAATGTGGCGAAGCATCTTAAAAACTAGAGATGTTCTGCAATTGGGAACACGGTGGAGAGTGGGATTTGGATTTAACATATAGCTTCGAAATGACATCTAGGTAGGTAACTCAAAACTTCTGGAATCAATAATAGCCCCGGTTCCACAACACCTACTTGGTACGAAGGTCTCTGATATCATTAGTAATTTAGAATGGAATCGACTACAATTAACTGATTTTCTTCCAGAAAACGTTCTCCAACTTATAGCAACCATTCCGTTATCAATAACTGGCCACTTGAATGATCAAATTTATTGGAATGCTGCTTCATGTGGACACTTCACAATTAAGTCAGCTTTTGGTCTCATTCAACAGACTAGAATTTCTAGTGTTCCTAGAATTTCTAGTGCTCCTAGACCTGAAGACTGGACCTGGATTTGGCACTTAGGCTGCACAGAAAGGGTGAAGCTCTTCGTTTGGCTGCTCTGGAGAGGAAAAGTTCTCACAAACTCAGTTCGCTTTTGAGCGTCGCATGGCTCTTACGCCGGTTTGCCCTCGCTGTGAACAATCACCTGAAACCCCATTGCACCTCTTGAGAGACTGTTTCTATTCGTGGCTAGTTTGGGAGTCGATGAGTTTTCTACCTACTGACTTATTTTATCTGAACTTTGATTCTTGGTTGAAAGGGAATGCTATTATACCAAGGCGGAGGACCAATTCTCCGAACTTATGGCCATCCGTCTTTCTCGCAACCATCTAGCACTTGTGGAAGAGCAGGAACAGATTGGTGTTTGAAGGGCAACGCATTCTGCCACATCTTATTGCTCGCCAAGCTCACACCTTTGCTTTGGAAACAAGATTTGCCTTGGAATCAGTTAATCTGATTCATGAGACTAGAGCCCCCAGATGGGTCTCTTAGACCCCACCACCACATCCTTATCTCAAACTAAACACCGATGGATCTTACAATCATCACTTAGGCAAAGCAGCGGCTGGAGGACTCATTCATGATCACAACGGGCGTTGGGTTCATGGCTTTGTTGTAAACGTTGGTCTCACAACAAGTTTCTTGGTTGAGTTGTGGGGTTGCAGAAAAGGCCTCAAGCTTGCTAACTCTTTGCGAATACAGCAGTTGGTCTTAGAAATGGACTCTTTACAAGCAATACGACTCATTCAAAATCGGCAAGTATCAGCCGGACCAGACTGGGTACTTCTTACGGACATCTTCATTTTGATAGATTCTTTTAGCAACTGCCTGGTACAACACACTCTCAGGGAGGGGAATTCGGCTGCTAATTTTATGGCATCCATGGGTCACGACTTAGCTTTGGGCACTACACCTTTTCTCACACCTCCGGTGGATATTCACATGATCTTACAAAGTGATTATACAGGGACCATGTTCCTTAGGAAGTGAGCTGAAATTATAGCTTCTGATGTACCAAAAAAAAATATTACAAATAAGTCTTATTGATTTTCTCCATATTTATTATTGGTCCCTATTATAGAAGTCATAAAACTTTTTATTCTTAATCAGTATTCACCATGGCGACATCTAACCATAAAGTTTTTTGTATTTAACATTAGGAAAAATTCTACATTTTAGAACTCTCAGTTTTCTAAAGAAAAAAAAAGATTAAAAACTTCTCGATTGCTAACCAAACAAATGGACAAAATTAAAATGTTTTCTATAGGAAATTGATCTTAAAATTTTTATTTTAATAGCATAGTAGACAATTTAAAAATAATAAAGGTGTGTATGATTATTTTTTAATGTTTGGTTTAAATTTTAAAATTTTAATTAATTAATATTTTAATGAATTGAAGATTTTCCATAAGTTGCCAAAGAATAGAAAAAAAATTATTGAA